AGTTATAAAAATTTTGTGATGCTATGATTTAAAAACATATTGTCAAAAGTTTTTCTCCTATTCAGAAAAGCAAAATTATTATTTGAATATTTTAGCATGAGTAATTTGGCATATGAACACAAAATCTTGCCAATTTTAACTTGCTCTATTTCTGGCCACTAAGAAGAGACTACTTTACTTTTCAAGGTTGACTTGTGCAGCAAAAAACTAGAGCGAGCCGAGCAATTGATTGGAGGCCTTGGAGGGGAGAAAACTCGATGGAGTCAAAGTGCTTTGGAACTGGGGCATTTGTATGTTAATTTGACTGGTGATATCCTCATTTCATCAGGAGTTGTGGCTTACCTAGGAGCTTTTACATCACATTATCGACAGGTAACTCTGTAGTATAGATATTTGGAAATGTTAGCAGTTTTCAAGGAAAATTGACAATTTATAAAAAACAGTGATTTATGTTGATGTTTTATTTAATTACAGATATATGCTAATAGCACTTCCCCCTTACCCCCAGTAAACCAACGTATAATTTTGTACCAGCAAACTTGTCACAAGTTTGCTAGCACATGGTATATTTTAACCTTGAGACTAAAATGAAAGATAAAGTGAAGAGAAACAAACATACAAAGATATTCTCCTTTCCTGATCTTGTTACAAAACATGGAACTCTTCCCCATAACCCACTTCTTTTAGTAGTAAGGAAGAGTAAAGTAGTAGTCAGTTCAGGACCAGTAATGTGTGGTTCGTGTGAAGTTCAGTTTGGCTCACATTTTATGCAGTATTGGCAAATTAACCAATTAGCAATAAAATGCTTTAAAAAGCATTTTTTTTCCCATCGTGTGTGTGTGTAGGGGGGTGGCAGTGGGGATAGGGTGGGAATGAAGGGGAGGATGTTAACACATGCAAAATGTAAAATGTAGCAAAATGTAAAAAGAGCTAGAGGAAGGCTTACAGAATTTATTGAGCTGTTCCTCTGTAAAGGATATATGATAGGACATGGAAAAGATTCTCAGGATGAGAAGGTTAAAATCATAATCATAATTTGCTATGCAAATCAATGCAGAGCAATCCTAGTAAATGACTGCATTCTTAAATCCATATGAAATGAAATAATAGTAGTAATAGAGGAAAGCTGAAAAGGAAAGGAGGAAGGAAGGAAAAGCTGAAAAACCTAGACTTTGAAAATCTATACTTAACACGAACTACAGAATTCCTGCTGAGTCAAGGAATGGCAAAAATAATTCCATTTCCTCAAATGATTTTGAAGAGGAGATCAGCATACTTAGAGTGGAATTTCTAAAAGCCCT